ATCACCACATGCACTAACTTTGCATGTTCTTCCATTGTCTCAGAGTAGATGAGGATGTCAATCAAGTACACTAGGAACCTTTTATATAGATGCTCCTGCAGCACCTCATTTATTAATTGCATGACTACAGCTGAGGCCTCCCTGCAGCCCAAATGGCATCACCTGGAACTGGTAGAATCCCAGGAGGCAACTGAAAGCTATCTTCCACTTTAATCCTTACTCAATAATATGCTTCCCTCAAGTCCAGCTTGGTGAATATCTTTCCTCTGGAAAAGTATCCCAGCATGTCTTTCATGGGGGGAAAGGGGTACATGTTCTTGATGGGCACCCCATTAATTCCACAGAAATCCATAAACAGCCTCATGGACTCATCCTTCTCCTGACTGCTGATTGCCAACTGTTTGGCAGTTCAAGTTCCACCAGCTCAAGGTTGACTTAGCCTTCCATCCTTCTGAGGTCAGTAAAATGAGGAGCCAGATTATTAGAGGCAATATGTTGACTATGTAAACTGCTTAGAGAGGGCTATAAAAGCACTGTGAAGTGGTATAGAAGTCAAAGTGCTATTGCTATTTAAATAAGAAAAAGGTTATTTCTCTACCCAAGCAAACTTGAGAGACTCTTGTGAATGGACCTACCTCATGTTTTAGGAAAAGGATAGAAAGATAAAATCCATTTATAAAACATACAGAAAATGCAAAAAACAAACAAACTTTTCTTCTAAATGAGTTTAAACACCCCCTTCTTTGCCAACCTTAGGGCTGTTCTTAAAAACACAGGAGGAAAGAAAAAAGAGGACACAGTTCTCTTCACCCTATTTTTGCTGGCCTAAGTTGGGTAATGATATTTTTCTTTTCATTGCTTATTTTAACATTATTTTCTAACAGAATTTAACATTCTTGCCTTGAGGGATTTAACAGTTACATTTACATAATATATACAAAGGCTTAGACACACATATACTCACAAACACAAGAAACAGCAGAATTCTCAGGTTTACACACCCTGGTCATTCTCATCACAAATCTTAGTAAGTTTAAATCAGGAAGGGCAAAAATCTTAACATGTTAATTGGTTCCATAGAAGAGACAGAGAAAAATCAATGTTTTATATATATACACTTCAACAGCCTACACCCCAAAATACAATTCACCATGGAAACAGAAGCCAACAACCAACTTCCCTTCCTAGATGTCTTGGTATACAAAAGATCCAATGGCTCCCTAGGACACTCCATCTACCAGAAGAAAACACATACTAACCGCTATCTACATGCACTCTCACACCACCACCCAGCACAGATCAATTCCGTAGCCAAGACACTCATCTCCAGAACAAAATGCTTAGCCGATGAACAACACCAAAAAACCGAACTACGCACTCTCACCAACGTACTTGCAGCCAATGGATTCCAAAGAAAGAAGATTACCCACCTAATCCAAAAAGAAACCCCAACCAAAATCCAAGACAGAGAACAAGAAAACGGCAAAGCCCTCCTCCCATATATAAAAGGCACTACAGACAAAATTAGCAAGATCCTCCAAAAACACAACATCAAAACAGCATTCTGCACAAACAGAAAAATATCCACCATCCTAAGAAACCCCAAAGACAAAATCGAATTAGAAAACCAAGGAGTATATGAAATCCCCTGCACTGCCTGCCCTACCACATACATTGGACAAACTAACAGAAGAATAAGTGCACGCATTGAAGAACATAAGAACTCAATCAAAAAAAAAAGAAGAAACGACCTCTTCCCTGGTCCAACACCTCAAAGCCACAGGACATGAAATTGATTTTAAAAATACCAGAACTATCGCCAAAACCGAACACTTCAACAGCAGAATAATCAGAGAAGCCATAGAGATAGAAAAACGCCCACACAGCATGAACAAACGAGATGACACCTCCCGCCTTCCAGCCATTTGGAAACCCGCCCTCATGAACAGACGAGTACCTAACATGAAGAAGGACACCAGACCCACACCCATGAGAGCCACATAAGATGCCACCACCACACTTCCATGTAGAAAACAGACTCCCACCCACTCAGAAGATGAGACACGACCATGGACCAGAAGCTGCACGGCAGCTGCATCACTACCCACTTCAAACCCCTCCGAGCCATACATGAAGCAAACCGACACCCAATCAGAACACAGCCAAGCCCCCACCCAATCAAGTCCCACCCCCACTGGCAGTTAAAAGGAGGAAGCAGCTGCAATCTCACATTACTCTGAGAAGCACAGAGCCGGAGACAGAAGCCTGAAGATGATGAATGAGACTTCATCGAAACGTTGCCTAGATACTTCGAATCTTACGCGGGAGAAAACCCGAACAACCAAAGATCCATCTATCTATCTATCTATCTATCTATCTATCTATCTATCTATCTATCATCTATCTTTAAGTATCTTTATTTCGCCAGATTGGTTTTCCAGCTTTGTCCCTGAACAAAGATCTCTCTTTTTTAAAAAAATTAAGTTTTTATTGATTTTTAAAAACAAACATAAACAAACAAAACATAAAAACATCAAGCCATCTTCCATATGTATACATACAGTGTGCTGGTTGGTTTACAAATTGTTTTGTGCTTCCATTTCATAGTCTTCAATTACAATTACATTGCATATAATCTCGTATTTTCAATCAAAAATTAAATACCTTAATGTTCTGTCTCACTTTTCTTCTTTCCCAAAAGATGAAAAAATACAAACTCACACAAACACAGGCAGGCAAACTGGCTCGGACTTCACAGAGCTAATTCTTTGGAACTGATAATATCCTTGGCATTCCAACTGGACTTCCTGTCAAGTCCGAACTGATAACAAATAAAAATCTACTCACAGAAAATTACAAGGCAGTCCACAAAAATCATTCTTGAAGAAAATCCGAAGTAAGATTAAACTTTGTCCCATACAAAGTTCCAGCCGAAAACACACCCACATTTATCCCCTATGGGGTATGGCTCAATGACTCAGCTCACTCTCTGACCCTCCCACGCCTCCTACATTGCTGCTCACGTTTCTCGCTACAATGGTGCTTAGGATCAAGCCAACACTCTTCCTCTTTACTCCCTGTCAGGGGCTGCTCCGATATGCCTTCCTCCTGATTAATCTCAGGCTCTTCCTCTAGGTTGTCTGATGAAACCTGAGGCATTAGCAGGGAGGAAGGCATTGCCAGGGAGGAAGGTCCTGGGGAGGAAGGCATTCCCAGTTCCTCCTCCTCATCTTCCAGGTCTTCTTCCTCTGACAGCATAGGCTCGGGAATCAGGACCACAACACTTTAGTATCATCATTAATCAATCATCTGACTATACTTTTATTCATTCATGTTTTACAAGATAACCATCATTTACTTAGTTTGTTTTATAACAGTTCATATTATCATCCCAAATCTATCCTAAAATCATTTTGTAGATATAATAAGAAAGAAGTACATCTTTATATATTTATTACTTTCTAAAAGTCTACATATTTCATTACTATAATTTATTGTCTAACCATTGATAGAATAGATCCCAAATTTTATAAAATTGTTTATCCTCTTGTTCTCTAATTTCAAATGTCAATCTACTCATTTCAGCACATTCCAATATTTTCTTAATGATTTCCTCCTGAGATGGTGTTTTCTCATTTTTCCAGTTTTTGGCAAATACAATCCTAGCCGCTGTTAATACATTTACAATCAGATATTTCAAGTCTTTACTATATATTTCAGGTAAAATTCCCAATAAAAATATCTCAAGTCTATATGTTTTTTGTCATTTTTTCCAACCACGTGTGGATTTTAGTCCAGTATTTTTTAGCATCCGCACAAGTCCACCACATATGATAATATGAGCCAGGTGTCTGATGACATTTCCAACATTTTTCGGATTTATTCTTGAACATTCTTGCTATTCTTGTCAGAGGAAAATGCCACTTGTAAAACATCTTGTAGAAATTTTCTTTATATGCTGTTGACATTGTCATTTTATAATTTTGAGACCACAATTTTTGCCATTTCTCTAAATTAATCCCATATCCAAAATTCTTCCCCCAAACAATCATAGTTTCTTTAACTTGTTCTTCTTCTAATTTAATTTCTAATAAATACCCATACAATTTTTTAATCACTTTTTCATCAGTACCTGTCAAAATCTTATCTAAATCAGTCAGTTTATCATAGAAACCTTCCGTTTTGGAATCTTTATCGTACCTTGAATGTATTTGCGCATATGAAAGCCAATTCATCTTTATACCTTGTTCCTCTAGTTTTTGTATAGAATTGAGTTCACCCTTTTCATTCAATATTAGCAAAGATCACTCTTTACATAATTGGCATGCCTGCTTCTTTTTCATTCCCGCCTGGACGAGTTACCTCTTTTAATACCAGGCTTTTAGCAGTCTCCCTAAAGGAAACATAGGTAGAACTTTGGATTCAAAGTTTCCCATGTTTCCAGACAAGACTATGACCCATTTACCCACACTGAGTTTTTTCCTTTACCCTCCTGCATCCCCAGAGTGACCCTCCCCTGTAGTCCCCTCTCCCATCAAGGCAATCTTTCAGACTTTGCCCCAGTTAGGCAATATTTCATCTCTGAGCAAGGCAACTTTTCAAACCACACTATACCATTGCAAGGTGACCTTTAAGCCACCCTAGCCCTGTACCTCAGTTTCAGACCTCAAGGGGATCTGGAAGGTCTCTGCCTTCCTTCCTTTTCCTAAAAGAATGGAACTTTGCCGAAAGATGTCAGCCTGGCTTTGACTCTGTCACTCACTTTTCCATTCTACTTTCACGCAACCTTTCCCTTTTCCTCAACAGAAGGTCCTGCACTCTGGCCAAACCCCATTACTTTACAGGGTCTGTTGGTTGAACCGATCTTTTTGAGGCTAGGAAAGACACTGAGGGAGCAGGATCCAGCTATGATTGGAAGAAAGATCCTCTCACTCACACACACAGGCATCATACCTACATTTCCTTCACTTTCTTGGGCTTTAAAAGTTAAAGGTACTTACCTTCTTTCCAAGCAGCCAGTGACCTCAAAACTCCCTTTACTCCAAATGGCCAAGGTTTGGCAGGAACCACCCACAGACACAACTGGTCTGCTGCTGACAAGGTGAAGTCTTACTCAGGCCAGATCCATTGGTCAGGTTAACTTGGAATTATTTGGCATGCCAAATACTAGGAAGAAAAATCAGGTCCAATTCCAATCTGGGAGAAAGGCACTAGAAATAAAATGGAGGCTGATTGGAAAGAAGGACTCTGACTGGAAAGAAGGACCCTTCCAACTCTGATTATCTGTTAAATCTGTTAAACCTGTTATCTATTAAATCTGTTAAACATACAATGTTATGGAAAGTTAATGTAGTGATGGTGTCTTGTGAAATGGAACACACGATTCTTCTGATATTGTTTCCCACTGTATCCAGATATGAAGGAAAGCCACTATGGAAAAATAGTTAAAGTATGGGTTATAGCAATATTGATGGATTTTATTTCACTGCCCTTTCAGAGAAATGAGGACATGGATTTCCTCCATGGTGTGCTGTCCTTTTCAATTCATTCAAAGGAAATAAGATTCCAGAAATTTCTTCAGATGAGTTCTTCAGATAAATCTGCCTTGGAAAAAGGAGAACGCTTTATTTCTTAATGGGCACAAAATATCTATCTCTAAAGACTTCAGGCATCTGCTGAAGGCTGTTGAGGCTTTTTGCCATGTATAACATTGAAGTTGTTACATGAATCATGAGGTTATTAAGCAAATTTGGCTTTTCTTATTGACTTTGCTTGTCAGAAGCCAACTGCAAAGGTTGCAAATAGTGATCACATAATCACAAAAGCCTGGACATTGCAACCATTGTCAATACAATACAATTGTTGCCAAGCACACAATTTTTCATCACGTGACCATGGGGATGCTGCACTGGTAAATATGAGGACTGGTCTTCAGTTAGTTTTTCAATGCCATTGTAAATTTGTAATGGTCAGAATAATAGAATAACAGAATTGGAAGGGACTTTGAAGGTCTAGAACAATCCCCTGCTCAGGTCGGAAGCCCTATACCTGGGATGGCAAACCTATGGCATATGTGCTGGAAGTGGCATGCAAAGCTATCTCTCTGGGCACGCCAGCCGTTGCCCATTGCTCTTTCAGGTTCCGACACATGCACGCACTGGCTAGCTGATCTTCGCATGCAGGGACGCGCCAGAAACTGGAAGAGCAACTTCTCAGCACATGCAGAGCTTCCAGTTTCTGATGCATGGAGGTATGCTGGCCAGCTGGTCTTTGCATGTGCATGCATGCTCAGCTTCCCAGTGCACGTATGCGCACCAGGAAGCTACTCTTCTGGTTTCGGGTGCTCCCACTTGGTGCCAAAAAGGTTTGTCAACATTGCCCTATGCCATTTCAGACAAGTGGTTGTCCAATCTCTTCTTAAAAACATCCAGTGTTGGAGCATTCACAACTTCTGGAGGCGAGTTGTTCCACTGATTAATTGTTCTAATGGTCAGGAAATTTCTCCTTAATTCTAGGTTGCTTCTTTCCTTTATGAGCTTCCATCCATTGCTTCTTGTCCAGCCTTCAGGTGCTTTGCTGAACAGGTTGACCTCTTCCTTGTGGCAGTCCTTTAGATATTGGCACACTCCTATCATTTCACTCTTAGTCCTTCTTTTCACTAAAATAGACATACCCAATTTCAGCAACCATCTTTATATGTTTTATTTTTCAGCCACCTAATCATCTTAGTTGCTCTTGTCTGCACTTTTTCTAGACTCTCGACATCTTCACTACATGAATGGTTGTAAATTGAGGATTACCTGTAGATTTATACTTTATTGCCTCAGAGGATAGGACCAGAAATGATGGGTTAAACTTCACAGAAGGAGTTCAGAGGCTCAAAACTCAGAACTATTAGCCAGTGGAACAAAACTGTCACATGACTTGGTTCTTCTTCTTAAGTAGAAGATTCAAATAAGCCAAAAGGTGATCCAAGAGAGATGATGCAAGGATTCTGTACTGAGCAGGGGATGTACTAACTAGATGACCTCTATGGTCTCTTTCAAACTCACAAGCGTAGTCTTTGAAAACAAATAGAATGTCTGTTTCCTCTGACTAGTTAGCATGTTTTCCTGGAAGTAGTGGCAAGGAAATGGCACCGTTCCATCCTCACATCTGTTATCATTATTAGAAGTATTTGCCATTTGCCCCACATTATTGGGTTCATAAGTCATTGTGCAGGTAGGCCTCAACTTATAACAATTAATTTAGTGACCATTTGAAAGTTACAATGGCACTGAAAAAAGTGACTTATGGCCAATTTTCATACTTATGACTGTTGCAGCAACTCCATGATCACATGTCATTTTCATTCAGATGCTTGGCCACTGACTTATATTTATGATGGTTGCAGTGTTCTGGGATCATGTGATCTTCTTTTGCAATCTTCTGATAAGCAAATGGGGAAACCAGTTTCACGTAACATGGGTTACTAATTGGACGAGTCCAGTTTGAGCTTCTTCAGCGACAGACTGAAATCTGCGATTGTGTGCAGTTTCAATCTGTGCTTGCCGCTGGAGCACCCCAAGCCAACTGGTTTCAGGGCTAAGCCACCCCTTAGAGGTGGTGAAGAGCGGGGAGACTGCCAGCAGGGTCAAGGAGAGGCGCATCTCTCCTCCCCAGCTGGCTATTACTCCCTTTCCTGAAAGCGGTTGCAGTGGTGGTTAGAAATGGCCACCTCAAAGAAGAACTCGACCTGAAAAGAATGTGCAGGAGGAAGACCAGGTCAAACTGAAAAAGCAACAATATAAGGTATCCTGGAATTTGAATTATAAAGAACAACATTGTTTCCAAAGAAGACTTTGAAGTGGGGAATGAGAGAGGGAAGGGAAAGAATTTGGTTTTTTTTTCCTTTTCTTCCATATATTGACAACTAAGAGATTTAAGCAAGAAACCAGGAAAAATCCACTTTGACATTAACAGGTATTTAAGCTGAAAATAAAATGTCAAAGGGATAATAAAGATTTCTGGATTCTCAAAAAATTTTAAAAGAAGGAAAAAGACAAAAGGGTGGGATCTGGAAAAATGGAGGAGACCACCTGGGAGTGAAAGGAATTAACAGTGAAACTTTAACAAGAGTCCTAAAATATACATTTTAACTGAAACTTTGTAAGAAGACAAGAGAACCCCAGGAAGAGAAAGTGGAAAAAAGAAGCTAGAAGAAACAGCTTTGGATTATTTGGATTACTTGGTGATTTTTGGATTTTTTGGCTATCGGATCTAAAGGACTAAAATTAATCGGGTGACTGTTTAAAAGTTTTTAAAATGGTATAACTCTTGGAAGAATTGAGAATGGAACTTAAAAACCAGAAAGAAGATGCACAAGAAGGAAGAGTTCTTTTGGCTTCGTATTTCAATTTTTAGAAATGGAGATCCTGAACTATGAGAAACAACAAGAAAAGCCTGTAGAACAAAAAGGGCGGGACAAAGAAGAAGCCATTTTCAATGACCAAGTATTTCTATGTGGGGAAAAGAAAGGAAAGGGGGGAAAGAGAGTGAAAAATTTAAGATCTGAAAAAACACCCCCAAAAAAGAATAGTTTGAAAAGTAATTACAACATTAGGAAGAAACAGAAGAGAGGATTACAGAAGAGAGAATCAGAATTAGAGAGAGAATGGGTCAAAAAGGGAAGGGAGAAGAAGAGAGAGAAGAGGGAAAGGAAAAGAAATTATAAAGGACAGAATCAGAACATAGAGAAACAAGGAAAATGTACAAGACATAGAGATAATGGGTGAAAACTTAATTGAAAGGGGGATTCTGCAAGATAGTATTGTTATATTAGAAATAGAAATGAACTTTGAAAATATGAAACAAGTGTGATAAAATGATAGATTAAATACTCATTGTAATGTAATGGAATGTTTAATAAATAAATGAAATAAAGAGAATGAGAGAATGAAATTAGGAAATGAGGGGGAACATTTTAATTATTATAAATATGTTATAAAAATTTAAGTGAAGGGGAATATGAAAGAAACATGAAAAAATTATGGAAATATTATAAGTGTTCCTAGAAGTATGATATCCTATTGAAAAGAAATGTTAAAGATGTCAAAGATTATAACTAACATTAATGATAGAGCTGAAGTGGAATAGAATAAATGTTTTATTTATTATTGTTATATATATATATATATACTCTTTAAGAACTTAGTGCATATTTTAAGAATGTACCAAGCAGAATTTGACTGGAAGTTATGTGTTATGTTGAATGTTATAATTGTAAAGGCATAAATTGAAGTTTAAAAAAGAGTTGAATGAATAAAAATTAAAAGATACAAAGGTGTCATACTCCAGTTAGTAACTACAGGGAAAATTTTGTTTAATGAGAAAAGAAAATATGAAATTGAAACAGGCCAGACAAAAGTATAAATATGATGACTAGAGAGGTATTGAAACTTAGAAAAAGATATATATATAATTGAATTTAGAAAGGAATGAGATAATTAAAAGTAAGATTGAGAAAACTAAAGGAAAGGAAAAATTATTGAGAAAATGTTAAAATAGTAATAAGATATGGAATAGAACACAAAGATGAATATGAAATTGAATTTGTGTCTGTATGGAGAAGTGATAATCCAGGACCATGCTATTCTCAAAAAAATAAATTTTACTTGTATTATGTTTTGTGAAAACCCAAATAAAATTTTTATTAAAAATGGGTTACTAATTTAATAACTGCAGTGATTCATTTAATAAATGTTGCAAGAAAAATTGTAAAGTGGGGCAAAACTCACTTAACAAATTTCTTATTTAGCAATATAACATTTTGGGCTCAATTGTGGTTGTAAGTCAAAGACTACCTTATTGAGTTAAGATGTGTGAAATGTTATAGCTATTTGTTTACTGGTCAGTTAATTCAAGTTTGTCCATTCTTGGTTAGAAGCTGCTGATTTGTCCATTCTTGGTTAGAAGCTGCAGCTTCTGGCTGACTTAGCAATTGCTCATCCAGCTCCTTAATGATTAAATGTTTTATCTGT